ACATTTTACCAGCTTGTTTGCAAGTATACAAGTTAACGGGTTAAAAACTATCAGTAAAAAATCAGCTAAAAACATAAGCCACAGAGAGCAAAAGAGCACAACAAAAACAACAAATCTCCCACCCTTTCATCTTCTGTTCAATTGGGAAATGCATAATATGCCTTGTCCAACGTCTCCCCACCATTCATACTTTTACACACCTCTTGTCATCTGCTTGCCCTCCACCCTTGGGTACACTTTATCCAAATTTAAAGTTGTGTTAGTTTAAAAAGCCTCAAGCGTTCTTGCCTTCCCTCACTGGGGAACTATTTTAACCACTTGACAGCTTTCAACTCTGTAGGGATGTCTGTGTTTGTGTGTCTTCTTGCATTATGTGTGCGTTGTGTTGCTTATTTTGAAGAATCAAATGTACAAGCTTTAGTGTAGTGCTTTGAGTGTTGAACTGTGACCCTGGAGACTTGGGTTCAGTTCCCCATGGAACCCACTGGGTGACCTTGGGCACGTCACACTCTCTCAACCTCAAAGGATGGCAAGGCCAAACCTATTCTGAACAAATCTTGTCAAAAAAACCCCATGATAGAGTCACCATAGGGTTGCCATTAAGTCAGAAACGACTTGAAGGCACACAGCAACAACAACCCTTGTATTAATGAAGTGAAACTTCATTAGTTGGGATGAATTTCCTTTGAGTTCTTGGCTTTCCGGATTTTAGAAAACCCCGCAGCCTTAGGGTCACCACAAGTCAGAAACAACTTGAAGGCACACAACAACAACAACAACAACAACGTGTATGGAGTCAGGCGAAGGGTCTCTTCAGCTCACTCATGTCTCCATGGGTCTCAAGTGGAGGACTTCCCAGGAGACCCATCTCTGAGCCACTTTGGTGGGAGACAGCAGGGCGTCAGCTGGGGGCTTCTTGTGTTAGGAACATCTTTCATAGAATCAGAATCATAGAATTGGAAGAGACCTGAAGGGCTATCCAGTCCAGCCCCCTTCTGCCATGCAGAAACTCACAATCAAAGCACCTCTGACAGATGGCCATCCAGCCTCTGTTTAAAGACCTCCAAAGAAGGAGACT